AAAAAAAATAAAAAAAAAAAAAAAAGGAGTAACGAAGAAATTGTTGGGATCTTCCCTAGATCTGTGTGTCGAGCCATCGACACAATCCTGTCTCTGAGCTGTGCAGGCAGAGGATGTTCCTTTGACCTTATGGCTTGGAAAATATCCCTAATCAATAGAATTTGCAGCACCTGGACTCCAATCAAACTGTAGATCTCAAAGATGATCCAGAGACATGGGATGCAACCAGGGCTAAATTGTAGAAATGAAATTTACATAATATGATGATTCATTTTTCTCCTTTCTATTTATTAAATTTGCAGTGTTATTGCAAATTTGTCCTTATAGGGTATAGAGTGTAATGTGGGATATACTGTATATACACACATATGGGTTTGAATACTTTTGCAAGGCAAATACCCTTTAAACAGAAAATTGATTTACCTCTTCATCTTCATCCTCCTTCAAAGGATGTTAAAGGGGTCATATGATGCGATTTCAAGTTTTCCTTTCTCTTTGGAGTGTTACAAGCTGATTGTGCATAGATAAGATCCCTGAAGTTGCAAAGACTAAAGTCTCAAAACCAGAGATATTCTTTATCAAAGTTGAGACTCTGCCACGCCCCCCTAAAACGGCTCGTTCTAACCCCACATATCTACCTCACTATGTGGAAATATTTGCATAATGCCACCCAAATGTGCACGCAGAGAAAGAAGGTGTGGTTTCAGTAACTGCAGTTAATGTTGAAGCAGCCATGTCAGGGAGACGCTGTGTGTTTCTAGGCGAAAGCAAAAGCACTTTATTTGGCCTTCCGAAAGTAGATTGATTTAGGAATCTTAAGATTACTTACAACAGAACAGCAATGCATTTTATGTTTCATGAATTCATGAACCTAGGAGAGGAGGTAATTCTGACTTTGCTACGATAATCTGGCGCTTCTGAATCAGCTACTGTTTTGTTATTAGTTTAAGTATTTGCTATTGACTGTTCAAATGCGCAGTTTTGCGCATCGTGTGTGTGTGTGTGTGCGTGCATGCGCGCGTGTGTGTGACAGAGAGTGAGAGATCACAGTGGAGTCAGCTGTCTTAACCATGGCTTGTGTACTGCAAACACATACCAGCTTCATCACTGTGTCTGTCACGCAACTCTGTTCTTTACATTTATTTTGAAAGATGAAGCTCGCGATTATGGTAAGGGGCGTTATATTTCCGACGCGTGCTTGTGGTGTTCGGCCAATCACAATGCACTGCGTCAGCTGGCCAATCAGAGCAGACTGTGTCGGAAGGAGGGACTTTGTAGAAAATGAAGCTTTTGAGAGAGGAAGGGCATAGAGGACCTACAATAATGTACAGTATTTGAAAAATATTGTGTTTTTTGAACATTAAAGCATGTCAACATATTCTGTTACACCAAATACACAAAATAATGATCTTTAAAAAA